TACATATCGTACTGTGTATGACTGTGTACGTGACAAATAAAATTTGAATTTGAATTTGAATCATATTAACATAAAAACCATTAACATCAAAATATTATATTTTATTTATTTAGTCCAAATAAGCACTTCAAAATAATCTGACACCAGTCTCCACAGGGACATCTAGTGGACTCTTGTTGTCATCACGTTTGATAATGCATTTTGTGAAAGACTGTGGGTGCAGCTGGGTGACGCGTGATCACGTGACCTGGGCTTTTTGCCAAAACGTCAGAGCGGCGTTTGTAAACATAGGATGACATCTCGAGCCAGCAACACTGGAGCTTTTTAATCGTTTCCCTCGGGGAATTTTGTCTTCTCTTTATATAAACGGAACGGCTTTTTGATGGCTCTCCGCTGCAAACAGTCACACGCAGTCGAGGCGAACTGTGCCCCACGTCACGGAATTCTCCTTCGTTTCTTATCTGATGAGCAGAGAGGGGCAGACGAGCACGTTTTGGATTAAAAATAATAAACAAAGAGGTAAGATCGCGGGAAATCCCTCCGTGATTCTTCTTTTTTTTCCCCGTGATTTGCTTCCTGCTGTCGCGAGCGCTTTATAAAGTGCGTCACCAGCACAGAGTCGAGGCATAAAAAGGCCTGCTGTCTTCAGCGGTAAGCGTGAGCAGTGTTGCCAACTTAGCGACTTCGTCGCTATATTTAGCGAGTTTTCAGACACCCTTAGCGACTTTTTTTTTTTTAAAGAGACTAGCGACAAATGTGGCGACTTTTTCTGGTGTTATTGGAGACTTATTTATGACGACTTTTTGACGTGAAAGCGTGTATCGCACGACTGTAACGCAGTCAGTTCTTCTTTTACTGTTATGCTGTTTTGTAGTGATGGCCAAATGAAGCTTTCTGAAGCATTGAAGCTTGTATTGAAAAACGGTTCATTACTCGAAGCTTTTCAACACAGTCTTCTCTGGTGACATCTGGTGGCCAAAAATATGAAGAGCAGCTTGAATCCACAAAATAAAACCAACCGCTTCATTATGATTGCCCACTCTACTGAGTGGAATTCTGTCTGATATTGGGCCTCCGTTGTGTTGCTTTGAACGTGTATTTTTTGGTGGTTAAAAAAAAAGTGTTTTATTTGTTTAATAAATAGTTTTGACCAGTAAACTCTCCTTGTTTAAACATGCAGCATGGTGTGGTCTGTCTTTGCTTGTGACTTCTTGATGTTGGTAAATACAATAATTGAAAAATACCACGTTACATATAATATACATATCAAAATGTACAACACATTATGGAGTATGCTTCTGCTCTCAGGTCTTGCCTCCGTGCACTCATGCAGTTAATCACTAGACGGGT